CAAGTCAAAACCTCGGGCGTGGATCTCTTTGAGGGTCTCTCTTCGGGATAACCTTTTATATATTCGGCCTTTGCCTTCAGGTGGACCTCAGCTGCCTCCACATCGGACTTGCATTGGGCCACTATTTCTTCGGCATCGATGGAGGTTGTATCTAACTTGGATTTTACTGCCTGGTATTCTCTACCGAGGGCGCCCGTTCTATCACAACCGAGCTCAGCTGTGCTCGAAGATCGTCATTCAGATAAGACCACTTATCAACTTTCTTCTTCGCCACCCGGAGTTGGATCTCAACTGATGCTAGCTTCGCCTTGGCGGTTTCCTTCTCCGAAGCCAGCAGATCCATTTTGCTTTTCCACCCGTCATCCATGGATTGGACTTCGTTCATCTCAACCCGGAGTTGGTCGATCAGGTCGATCTTCTATTGGAGCTGCGAGGTTGTGTTGTTAGCTACCATGACTAGCTTCTTGTTTTTAAATTCAATGACCTTTACCTTTTCAACCAGGTAGGTATGTTCCCGCTTCAGGGTCGAAGTTTCCTTTTACGCCCTATCTAGCTCGGCCTGAAGATCCTTGATGGTCCCGTATTGTTGCTCACTAAGGAGCCTGTACAGGTCCTTCTTTCAAACCTGCTCCTTGAACTCGAACTTGAGCTGGTTGATCTCGAAGTGGTACCGGAGTAAGCTCTCGTAGTGAAACACCGAGGCCTACAAAGCAACTAAAATAGTAAGAGATATTAAAACCTAAGTGGAATTCACAAGGGAGTATTGATGCCCTACCCGATTCAGCGCCTGCTGTGCCTCGTTGAATAGACTCGACGTGCCCACATCGTTCATCTTCTCCTTGTTCTCTTTGTTCACCAGACATCAAAGGTAGCTGGCTATGCCCACTGGAGTATATAAAACCGGAGCATCCTTTAGGACCTTAAGAATGACTATTCTCTTGCGGTTGGGGTCCATACTCGGAGTAGGCACCAATTTTGGGCTCGAGCTTGGCCCGCTAGCTTCCAAAGTCACGTCCTTCTCCGGTATCTCCAGGTTGCCTAGCCCGGAAAAATCTTCCAAAGTGGACATTTCCACGCTATCGAAGAAGGAGTAGAGAGGGTCGTCCGCACCGTGAGCTCCTTCACTTGACTTATTTTTCCCTACTTTGGCCTCTTCAAGCATGGACTCGGTGTAGGAGGGCGCCTCCATGATGTCTATCACATAGATCGCTTCCTTTGGAATAGAGGCGGCTTCTCGAGAGTTCTCAGCCCTCGTCATTGCAGCCTCTCGAATCAGAGGGAGATCGGCCTCATGGCTCTCTTCCTCGTCCGTCGCCTACTCCTTGGAAGGGGTCGATCCGTGAGTGACAAAGTCATCGTCTTCTTCAGACTCATCCTTGAGCCGGTGAAGTGAGTCAGAATCCGGCACCCGAGAGTTGGTGCTCTTCTTGGGCTTATGAGCCCGGGAAGCTGCCCTCTTTTTTGGCTTCACCTCGGGACCTAGGGAGCCCAGAGACTTTCTTTTCCTCTTCTTCTCCTCCTCCACTGCGGTAGCCCTGCACTGTCTTGTAACGGAGGGATTAACGGATAGGGATGCATCCTCGTCCCCTTCCAATGGCCTATGTTTGATGGTCTTAGGCAAACCTGCGAATGAAAGAGAAAAGGTCAGTGTTACGTAAGTTCGGGGGTAATAGTAACTATTCTAAGAAGGGGGAAGTTCACGGTTGACCACTAATAACACATGTATTTACTTTTAAGCCACCGTTTAAAATGTCTTTAGTATTTAGCCACTGGTTTAATAAACTTTAACTTCCCGGACGAAAATACCCATCTGCTCATGTCCTTAACTTTTGTACTTAACTTCAGGATTTCAGGACTACATGTCCTTAACTTTTGAACTTGGAACTCTAACTTCAGGACTTCAGGACTACATGTCCTTAACTTTTGAACTTGTAACCCTAAGTTCAGGACTATATTTCCTTAACTTTTGAACTTGGAACTCTAACTTCAGGACTTCAGGACTACATGTCCTTAACTTTTGAACTTGTAACCCTAAGTTCAGGACTATATTTCCTTAACTTTTGAACTTGGAACTCTAAGTTCAGGACTTCAAGGCTACATGTCCTTAACTTTTGAACTTGGAACTCTAAGTTCAGGACTTCAAGGCTACATGTCCTTAACTTTTGAACTTGGAACTCTAAGTTCAGGACTTCAAGGCTACATGTCCTTAACTTTTGAACTTGGAACTCTAAGTTCAGGACTTCAAGGCTACATGTCCTTAACTTTTGAACTTGGAACTCTAAGTTCAGGACTTCAAGGCTACATGTCCTTAACTTTTGAACTTGTAATTGTAAGTTAAGGACTGCTTGGCCTTAACTTTTGAACGTGTAACTTTAAGTTAAGGACTGTCTGTCCTTAACTTTTGAACTTGGAAATTAAAGTTAAGGACCTATTGTCCTAACTTTTGAACTTGTAATTGTAAGTTAAGGATTGCCTGTCCTTAACTTTAGAACTTGTAACTGTAAGTTAAGGACTGCTTGTCCTTAACTTTTGAACTTGTGTCCTTAACTATTGAACTTAACTTTAGGACTTCAAGACTACATTTCCTTAACTTTTGAACTTGAAACTCTAAGTTTAGGACTATGTCCTTAACTTTTGAATTTAACTTTAGGACTTCACGACTACATGTCCTTAACTTTGGTGACTCTTCCTTTTCAGTTAGCAATTGTAATCATTTTTCTTTTCCATTACTTATCCTTAAAATAAACTAAAAATGAGAAAGATTCAAGATATTTCTACCATAATATTTTCGCCCCTGTAAATTGCTCCTATCAATGGAGTAATGTTTTGATTTTAAATTGATTTTAATTTTTCAAGTCTTTTATACTCTATATAAAGCTTGACGGAAATATAAGCCATTCACACAAATATAAAGGGAGGAGATTTCAGTATTTAACTTGTGGAAACTATCAAGAGAGGAAGAGTTGGATAGAAAACAAAATTATAAGGAAAAAAAGACTCTAGTTTGCTCTTGGCAGAGACGATGGAGAGCAAAAGGTGAGAGAGAAAGAGGGAAACCAAATTGGGTAGAATGACAAATTGGTGTATTTTCGTTTGGGGAGGAAAGGGTAACACAGTCTTTTCATATTAATTTTAATAGACTAGTGGCTACTATTGCTAAGCATTAAAAATGCTGGATAAAAAGTAAATATCAGCTTAAACAGTGGCTACCCCACGCCATTTCTACTCTAAGAAGAGCCTTACCATGAGAACGGGCCTCCCATTGGCCCTTCGAAAGCTTGCGCCACGAGCTTTTGTAGTATTACATCTACTTGCAGATGCCTTCGATACACTCCTTGAGCCGGAGGACCGCATTAGGAACCCGAGCAACAGCTGCACAACCACAAATATGATGGTGAGAAAGGAAACAAAGGAGACTTTAATCATTGATATTATTTTATGAAAATACATGTAATTTAATGTTTGTGTTAACTTGAAAAATAATTTTACTTATATGATAAATTTAGAGAAAAAAATAGAATTGAATTATTTTGCTAATTAGTTTATTCAAATATTTTTTTTATAATTAGTTAATTCAAATACTTAATAATTTGTTCTCAGCATTAAAGAAGATAATTAATTTTTTGAAGATTTAATTTCTTAGTATTAGGTGAAATCTAAATGTAGATATTTAATAATAATTAGATTTTTATCCACAACAAATTGTGTTTCTAAATGGTAAAATTTTGAACTTTTGGACTTTGTGTTTGTCGAAGCTTTAGTGTTACTGAACTTCCAATTATTTTCTCCCTCCTTCTTTCTCTCTATATATTATTAAATATTTTTATAATTATTTCTTCTAATTATATTTTTAAATTTATATTAATATTAATATTAATATTTATATATAAGCAAAATAGTGATCAAAGAAGAAAACGAATAGCAGTTCAATCCAACATGACTACTCATAGCATTTGAAAGAGGATGTGTTGAATCGGGATAAAGAAAAAAGTAAATGTTTCCTCTTTCTTTAATGTATTTTATTCTTTTCTTAATTGAATATTGTTATTCAAACTAAAATTTAGCACAATGAACAATCTCTTTTGAGCTAAAAAACGTGCAATTAAAGACAATTCATATGGCATAAAAAATTGGTGTATTTAGTCATAATTTAAGCTTAATATTTATACAAGGTAAAATTTTATGATTATTATGTTCTAAATACAAGAATTTCTACTTAGTTCAAACAAGAAAAAGATTCAGTGAGTAAAATTTTAATTTATTTCATCTTCTAAATATTAGAAGAATAAAACAAATGATAATTTTGTCTAATGTGAAATCAATTTTTAAAGAATAGAGAAGACAAGCAATATTTTACTAAAATTTTTTAACTATGAAATTCACGCAAATTCACATTATTGTAGCAGGATGCCTCATGAGTTTCTCAAAAATACTTTTTTTTTACCTAATAAGCCTTAAAAGATTAGGAAATTTAGTAACATAAAAAGAATTAAAATCATATTACATAATTCAAATAACCAAAAAGAATGAATAAGATAAAATCATTATTGAATCAAAACTCCTACATATTAGTAATATAATTAATATAGGTGTCACGTAAGGAACGATTTGGTAGGAAACTTTTCTAGTATAAATTGTTCATGGTATGAAATTTAATACTCCTCCTAAACATAAAAGGATAAATTCAATACTTCTAACTATAATTGGAGTAGAAGGTGAAGATTAGTACTCCTACGATATGACCCAAAAAATACTCCTACGAAACTTTCCTAGTTTGAATTAGATTATAAAATTAACGAGAAAAAAAAATTATTAAGAGATTTTGTGTTTTTAATATAATATAAATATAGACATAAATAATACTAGTTAGCCATCAAAATTGAAACAAAATAAAGAAGTATGAATAAATAGAAGCCCCTTAAACTTCTTCCTTTTATTTATTTATTTAGACACTCAAACTAACCTCATGACCCATTAGGCACTCCATCTTTACACAAATTGTGCCTATGAGACACAAGAAGCTGACATGACATAGAAGGTGAATCTCACCTCTTTTGAACGCGTCAACCAGTTTTAAATGTTTACATGAAATGTTTTTCTTCTTCACCAATGAAGCCACCACCAGTACTCATACCTCACTGTACTTTCCCTCATTGTTTACAGGAAAACTCCATTTCTTCATCCATAAATCCAGCATAGTCACACTCCTGATCTTGCTTTTCACAACCAAATTCCCCCATCTCAATTCCTGTTAAGAAGCACGACTAGTCCCATTGATTTTTCTCTTCTTGCTCTCATTTTATTTATCAATACGGAAAATTTCTCTCAAAACTTACAAACCACCATGAGTATGATCATGAGTCCCCACTCTTCAATACCATAACTTCACCAAAACAAACACAACAGAAGCCCAGCACGCAAAGTTGCACAGAGAATGCCAAGCATACACCTAGCAATAAAGAAAGAAAAATGCCCATCTAGAAAGAAAAATCTTCAGCTCATCATACTTTTAAATTTTTGTTTTACTTTCACAATTGTTGACAAATTCTTGTTGTTCTCTTTGGGGCTGGTGATGTGGGGTTTGTTGGTTTATTCCCAAAAAAATAACTCTCAAAAGTGTTTATCTTAATTAGTTGTTTGTTATTCCATGACACGGTATTGTTAATTGAGTTAGAAGATAATAACTTTGGCCAGAATCTATAGAACTTGATCATAATTTGGTGAATAACACACGACGATCTCGTCGGAGATAATCTTCAATCTGGTCTAATAGAGGAAAGTCTTAAAAAGGGGAAAGAAACTTGTGTGGGAAAGATGACGATAGAGAAAAAAATTATAAGCTAACAGAATAAGCTAAAAACTAATTTGAGAATAGAGTTGGAAAAAAATACAGAATTGCTCTCTCCTTTTTAATGCTCACCAGTTAAAAAGGACATTGCTTCAAAGTTTTTTCTGGAAAAGAGCTGCATGTCATTTTTTCATTGGTTTTTTGCCATATCACTGAAGGTTGAACGACACGCATATTCTTTCATGTACTACTTCAGCTTCTTGTGTTTGATAGGCACATTTTGTGTAAAGATGGAATGCCTAATAGGTTATGAAGTTAGTTTAAGGATCTAGATGAAAAAAGGGGACAAATTTAAGGGGCTGTTTATGTATTCAACCAATAAAGAAATATTTCAAATTGATGTTTCCAAAGTGAGCTCATACCTTTTCCCGTACAAAACAAGACTTTTCTTTTACTGGACTCTACCCAAAAAAAAAAACAAGATTCAAGAATTGAATAAAAAAGAAAACCCACAAAGCCTACTCCGTCTTACGTAGTTCTTGTTCACCTTAAAAACTTGTCCAGCACATCATTTTCAACAATTTTCAGATTAAATAAATGGGTGCAATGATCTGTGTTGTGAGTTTGACTTCAATCTAGTTGAACCTATCTTGATTAATCCCAATTCAGGTTTTTCTGTGTCAATGGACGAGACCCTCATAGTCCATGTGGAAGAATCCAAACCCGTAGAACAGGAGCGAACTGAATCCCAAAACAATGAAATTCAAGAAAATGGAAATGGAAGTAGCCATGATCATGATCATGATCATGATCATGATGAAACTAATTTAGATAAAACCCTTATGAGGTTAGACTTACTTCTCACATTGTTGGGATTCAATCAGTCTTCAGTTGTAAGGTTTGTGCTGTCATGGATTTTCTTCTTGTTATTTGGGGTCGTGCTTCCTGTTGTGATGTTGGAGCTCTCTAATTGTCCTGGATGTGAAAAGGGTCAAATCAAATGCTTTGAGCTGGATATTTTGGCTTCTCAGGCTCTTCTTGCCGCTGCATCCTTGATTTGCCTTTCACATAACCTTCGCAAGTATGGAATCCGGAAATTCCTCTTTGTTGATCGCTACAGTGGCCATATGGAGCGTTTTAGTGACCAATATCTTAACAAAATCTCTGTGAGTGCCTTCTTATCTATGTAATCATTGTATGCTAATCTTGCTACATCCTTCCTCATTTAATCGAAGCAAATTTTAATTTTTATGGACCCCTTCCACCAGATTAATTTACTCATCTTAATTCATAAAAAAACAAAGGGCTTTAGAAAGTGATCTAACACCTTCTTCCATTAGTTTGGGAGGTAGGTAATGTATGGGACAAATGTTAGTTCGCGAGGTAGGTTATGTAAGCGATAAATGTATGTAGGTTGCTCAATCTGAGTTGTCACGACATATTTCCTTATTACATTAGACGTCACTTTCCACGTGCTTGTTTTTGTTGATTATGTGGATCTATTTTTGATATATTGCCCGGGAGCACTATTATATGAATTAAGCTTGGAAACTTGTCATCTTTAAAGATTGTTGGTATTGCTTTGTGATGACTTCCACTCCGGGACATCAGTAGAATTATAAAGGAATTTGGATGTGAATATTAGAAAATGAAAAGCAAAAGTGAGGGAAGATGTTTGAAAGATGTGGTTGAGATCTGTTACTGCTTAAAGGAGTGCATCATACCAGCTGATATTGATGGATTAGTAACCACATCCTCCGTGTGCATGAGATCATTGTCATAAAATATGGACGAACAAACCTTTCTGATCTTCAAACAAACATTAAACTTAGGTGTTTTGATGAAATGTAAGTACTCTTAGCTTTCCCACTAGCAGTTTCATCTATGCTTCCTTTTCTTTATGGCTTATGCAAGTCGGTGGACTACCTGATATAAGATTCTGAAAAGAAAGTAGCATATTTACTTATCAAAAGAAAAAGAGAGAAAGTAGTATATTTACTCTACCTAATAAAGAGATCAGGTAATGAAGGCAAATTAGATTACTTGTCAAAAAAAAAAATAAGGCAAATTAGGTTAGCTCTCACTAGCCTGGTCATCATCCTAAGCCTAAGTATTGAATGGATCAGGTTTTCAATTTGGACTTCTCCACTTTCATTAATAACTTATTCCCACGTCCTATTTAGGACTTACAACATTTACCAAATTTTGTTTTGCAGGATTCTGTTCGCTTGCTAGTATTGTGGGTGTTCCCATGTTTCCTTTTGAAGACTGCACGTGAAATAATTCGCATTTTGTACGTGCATCATGAGTCATGGTGGCAATCGGCTGCTATTTCATTAGCTTTTATTTCATCATGGACTTATATTACTGCAATTTTCCTGTCAGCTTGTGTTTTATTCCACCTGGTCTGCAAATTGCAAATTATACACTTTGATGACTATGTGAAGCTTTTGGAAAGGGAGCCTGAATGTGTTGTTTTGATACAAGAACACGTTCGTCTACGTTATCATCTCTCCAAAATTAGTCATAGATTTCGAATCTATCTTCTGCTGGAGTTCTTAATTGTCATTGTGAGCCATTTTGTGACTCTCTTCCAGACAACTGGTTATACCGGGCTGATCACTTACATAAATGGTGGTGATTTTGCAGTAAGTTTTTTCCTTCCTTTTCATAGACAAATGTTATCTGGTTGTTGTTTCTGAGTGACCCAGATGCAATTATTTCCCATGTATCGTGGTTATACCGTTGGTTAATTTAGTCAATTCCCAATATTTACATACTTTGTTTGAGAATTTTTAAGAGCAACTCCTTCATGAATTATTTTTTTGAATGTGAGTAAATCAACTTTTCATTTGCACATCCAATGTACTTCTTTATGTGCATTTCCCTGTACTTCACTAGTTGTCATGATTCACTTTTTGTTAGAACTGAGGGATTTGTCTAAAAAGCTCTACTTTCAGAATTCAAGGTTAATTTTTCATCGCTCTTCTCCTCCTCCGGTTTTCAGGTCTCCTCAGTTGTTCAGGTGGTAGGGGTGATCCTTTGCTTGAATGCTGCTGCAAAAATATCCCACAGAGCCCAAGGTATTGGATCAGTGGCAAGTAGATGGCATGCTTTGGCTACATGCACTTCAGGTGAAGCGTCCCAAATGAGAAACTCAACTAGCATGAGTAACCTGGAGGTTAACCGGTCTAGCTCATTCTATATGAACTTCTCAGAGAGCGATTTGGAGTCTCTAGATTTTGTAACTGAACCGACAAATACGCAATTGGCTTCTTACATGTCCTCGTACCAAAAGAGACAAGCCCTAGGTATGTAAGACTATGTTGACACCTCAGTTAGAAAAAGAGCCAGGATTCGCTTTTGTTTGTACACCATAGATCACATATATTCATGCAAGGTACACCTCACACAATCTTCTGAAAATAAATATTTACTCTGTTTGATGGTTCCTTCTGAATTGGAATTATGGGCTTCACTAAACAAACAAGAAATTCTATGAATCGTGCAGTTGAACACATATTGTGTTTTTGCTCGTTATCATGCCAAAACAATTGAATGCACTTATCATCTTCCTATGCTGTCCTTGTTACACGGCTGCAATGACTTTACCTAGTGAAGCTAAAACAACGATTTCCTAGTCCTGTTAACAAAAACTGTGTGCAATTATTTGAAGTTCTGGTAAACTTTAATGATCTGTTCCCAGGTTGATCTAAGTAACGTTATGTTTCTCCAAACTAAAATGACTTTCTTATTATTTGAATTGATATGCTTTAGTTACCTCACTGTAAACGGCTGTCTCCGGCAGGTCAGTCTTCAGACACAATTTGCTCAAATGTCACCCATTACCCAAATCTCTACTTGTCGATGCGCTTACGAAAAAGATAGAAATGACGGTTCCCCTGCCTAAGTCATAGCAACATATTGCACTTCTATCTGATGAATCTCTTTTCTTCCTTATCTGAGTGCTATCATTTTTTTTTAATTTTGTTTCTTCCCATGGAAATGGAATGAAGCGAGCCCAAATGGAGTGAAATGGGTATTGAAGAGCCCAACAAATTACTAGTTTGTGACTGAGAAGTAGTTGCTGGTGTAGTTTTATGTTGTTTCTTTTGGTTCTATGGCATTTAATGTCATGCATGTAAACTCAGTTTATGTATTATTGGTTATGCAGTGATGTATTTGCAGAACAATCCTGGGGGAATTACCATATTTGGATGGACAGTTGATAGAGGTCTCATCAACACAATCTTCTTCATTGAATTGACAGTGGTAACGTTCATCCTCGGAAAGACCATTGTTTTCACGGGTCACTAGCTTCTCAATATTTTGCAAAGATGATGATTATATCGGTTGTCCTGATTGCTGCTGACACCTCTATCTGAGTTCATGGTACTGGAATAGACAATATCACCTCAATCTATCGGCAAACAGGAGGGTCTCAACTGAATCAATGTTGCTTTTGATTATTCATCAAGTATATTCCAAAGCTAAAAGCTTATCCAATCCTTCTTTCCGTTCCAAACATATACATACTCACCCGTTCTAGGTGCTGATGCTGGCAATTTCTAAATTGTTTTGTTTCATCCTTCTTGCTCCATTGAAGTTACCCCTGTTGCTTTTGAAAAAAGGTGAGGTTGAGGAGTGTTGTAGCAAGAATAGAAAGGAAATGAATGAAGGATGGTTTCTGCATGAAGGATGTAACTTGCCTCAAGATATGAGTATCAACGGTCCTCATGTTCCTATTGTATATGTCTAGTAATTTGGTTTTGTCATCTTTACATTTCATGTATTTGTCAATCTTGGCGACTTTTTTCTGCTTTTGAGCAAGGAGCCATTAATGCAAAACAGACAGTTAAAAGTAGTTCGACACAAACTTGTGATTTCAGGCGATAAATTTGACCCAATACCTCATAATGTCCACAATTGATTAGAGGTGTCAAACGGGCCGGGTTGACCCGGTGTCGCGACCCGGATTCCCGCCCTCGGGAGTCGTGATGGCGCCTACTAGTACGAGCTAGGCAAGCCAATTAATTGCACAATTTACCCTTTTACCCATTTTATATTCATTAACAATTTCGAAATAATAACATTTAAACAATGGAATTTAACACGAGCGGAAGAAAGAAACATTAAGCTATCTGAACATGAATATCTAATACAACTGTTTGAGTCTCAACTACCCAGAACTGGTGTCACAGTTTCACAGACGGTCTAAGAATACTACAAATAAAGGGCCTGAAAGGAATAAATACAACGCTATCTCTAGATATACAAGAAAGAAACAGGAATAGTAGATAGAAGGAAACGCCAAGGCCTGCGGACGCCTGCAGGACTATCTCGGGTCGCCTGATGATCAAGAATCAGCAATCTCACTGCGGTCCGAAGTCCACAACACTGGAGTCTGCACAAAAGAGTGCAGAGTGTAGTATCAGCACAACCGACCCCATGTGCTGGTAAGTGCCTAGCCTAACCTCGGCGAAGCAGTGACGAGGCTAGGACCAGACTACCAAATAAACATGTGCAGTTATATGATATACAACAGAAAGTAAAGCAGAAATAAACAAGTAAAGATGGGAGAGGGAAACATGCTTCGGGGAATAACAGGTAAGAACAGATTATCACAAGAACTATAAAGGAATCAAAATCCAACCACTAACAAGAGTAGGAAAAACAAAGGCAGATTTCGCTTTCTTTTCACATCTCGTGGTAGGAGTACCACCCGCTCCTATTTCGTTACATCTTGTGGTAGGCGTACCACCCGCTCCCATTTCATTATATCTTGTGGTAGGCATACCACCCG